ATATTAAAGATACAAGTCTGTCCCTAAACCAATACATAAACCATGTACATAATACACTAATTCCTATACTAAGTTATTGCTAACTTATAACTTTCATGCCACCGGTATTCATAAAAATACCTAAGTCTTATATTGGATAAACCACGCCCGTACTTTTAACCACTCAGCCAAATCTAATACACCTTTTTCGAACCATTGTAACTCTAATCTTCGGTTACACGAAGCAACCTTTGGACAAGTGACAGACTGGGTCTGACACCAGATTGAACTCTTTACATTATATGGCATATAAAATATAGCAGTACCGAAATGTGTGCCAAAAATATTTCTTTTTCGAAAATAATTTAAGCACACGTCTGTATTTTACGTGTCATGCTTCAACTATCAATTGACACGAGTCTATTTTTAATTTTTACAATTGAAAAATGACTCGAGGCAATTCTTAACGCAGATCATGGGACTTGATGTAATATTACTAATAATAATTACTATTTATCGGAGATATTAAAGTCGTATGCCAAATTTATGAGATAGTATCTTGATATAAAAGGCGTTTTTTATCATTATTTAATGAAAGGAAAGCATAACCTTTATACTTTTAATATAAATTTATTACAAATATTTATAGTAAATACAAAAACGTTATTAATTTAAATTTATGTATGTATTATTCACTTTAGAACTTATTTCAATGGTCAAATCAAGTCACAAGCAATTCTTATAATAAAAAATTAAATAATGATTCTAAGGACCGGTTAGAACGAACAATTATATTAAAATGCTATCAAAGACCTTTTACAATTGAGTTTTTAATGTATTAGAACACATCAAAAACTAAGAAAATTAGTAAACATTAATTCAATAATAATGTACATTAATAAATATTAATATATATAACTCTAACTTTGAAAATATTTAATACAGTAGTTATATGATCGTAAACCGTTACTATATACCCTATATACACTGGGCAGTAGTTATAACCTAAATTTAGATATAAATATTATGGTCTAAACCTTTCAAGGATGAAAAGAATAAGGTGAATTTAGTGCTTTTCGGTACAGGTGGGGGTAGGTTTTGCGGAAGTTGTGGTAGTTGTGGTAGTGCATTCTTTTTCATGATGTGGATCATAATTCTTTTTATCATCATCATCTCCGAGTTTGTGATGGTGTGGATCATATTTATCATCATCTTCGAGTTTGTGATGGTGTGGATCATATTTATCATCATCTTCGAGTTTGTGTGGATCATATTTATCATCATCCTCGAGTTTGTGTGGATCATATTTATCATCATCCTCGAGTTTGTGATGATGTGGATCATATTTATCATCATGCCCAAATTTGTAATATTTCTTTTCATCATCATCATCATTCACAAATTTCTTAGTGCAAGTAGAAGCTGGTGTTGTGGTAGTTTTTTTTGTAGTGGTGCAAGGTTTGTGATGATATGGATAAAACTTTTCGTCTTCATCTTCTAGTTTCTCAAATTTCTTAGTGCAAGTGGTTTTAATTGGAGTGGTAGTAGTTGTGGTGGTGCAAGGTTTCTTTTTC